AAGTATGATCTTGTGGGAGGGAAAAATGAAGCAAGAAAGACATTCCACAGACAGAGAGTGAAAACAAAATCCAAGTCATTTAGCTTTATGACTAAAGTCTCGAAGATGTACAAGTGTAATGGTGAATTCAGGTCACCATTACAGTCACAACATTCAGACCATGTTTTCTTTCAAAACTTGTGGTATTTAAGGACATTGCCAAGTAAAATAATGGACTGTTATTTATCATTTCAGTATCAAGAAAAGGTGACAAAATGGGAAAAAAATGCTCACTCATCCCTTAGAATATATTTTTAAATACGTGTGGACATTGGTAGTGAAACTAAAAATAACACTTGGTAAGAAACAGAACTCATTTGAGTTCCTTTAATATAAAATAAAAACAAACAAACAAACAAAACCAAACAGCTACCAGTGCTCTTCCCTAGTAAAGAACTTAACTATTCTGGTGCAGAATGTTTTGCTTAGACTATACACAGGGCAAATAGCACCTGTAATGTCCTATACAGGAGCAGATTCCTTCTTACAGCATTAGACTACGGTTCTGTACCCACTGTCCTGCTGATATGCCATTTGAAATATATTTGGCTAGCATATTTTGTGCATGAAGACAGTGAAATTAAGTATTTAAAAATGTGTTGTGCCTCACTTTTCCCATGTACTTTTAAAAATTTTCCCATGCTCATAAAAATTAAAATACTGGTTTGCCCAATTTTTTATTCTGCATTTGTTTAGTGTAACACACTTCATGGGAACAGTTGTTTAAAAGAATCTTTTTGAATTAAAATACTATTATTACAGTATTTCAATCAATTTAATAGATTTAGAGAACCCAATTTACATTTATAACACCTGCTATGGAATTCATTGCACTTTGAAAGATTTCACAGGAGAGAGGGCAAGAATAAGTTTGTCATCTTTCTCCTCCTAGAGTTCTCTTCCTCCCCCCTTCCCTATTACCATACATGTCATTCAGGAATATAACATTTGTTTTCCCAACTTCACCTACCCAAAAGTGAGGAAATATCTTTCAGTTTTCTTGCACTTATCATTCCAGTTTATCTGAATTACTTCTTCATTATTGCATAATTAAAAATGTAACATCTCCATTTCAGGATATATGTCAGGTGTCCAACTGCAGCCCCTCTGACTACTGGAATGGGAAGGCTGTTCTTGTTAAATGCTCATCAAAACCAGGTATGATTCAGAAACTATGTCACTAGTGTTCATAGCCTCTCTCTTCCACTGACACTACAAGAAGTTCGAAATGGGTTCGGATAAGCGTGGGTGGGCCATGAACTTTCAGCAGCTAGGTCTCAATGAACATGGTGGTCATGGCATATTAATTTTTGCTTCTCTACAGCACAGAACTACCTCAGCCTTGCACAGTTGAATATGCAAATTCAATTGAGATTCACATAATATTTTATTCTGGTCCAAGCAGCAGTTTCTGAGCATGCTGAGCAAACACTTGTATTTTGAACTCCTTTGAAATGAAAATTAATTCAAAAACAGAAGCGGACATGCAGGCATCTTCAACAGCTCTAGAACAGAAGCACTCACCTTTCATATAAGAGGCCTAGTTAAAAAAAACATACATCTCAAAGGTTCAAAGCCGTATCTTCAACCTCTCAGGAAGAACCCTCAAAGAAATATTCCTGTTCAACATCTTTTAGTGTCAGAAAACAGTATGCAACCCACACCTGTGCCCTCCCCAGACCCATAACTTCACATTATTATCTAAATATTAGGGCACTTCCCCCAAAAGCATACCTATAGTCTCTGCTCCCAGTGCCTTTTACCAAAAAGGCCCACAAACACCAAAAACAAAGGTTGAGTCCTGGGATGTCTGGGGGAGATAAATTCCCTCCCAATCATTATGCTGAACTGTTTTCCCCTCTTGCACTTCCTTCCCTCACAGTGAGTTCTTTGCTAAACTAGGCACAGTTTCCAGGAGAAGTCACAGAAAACATGCCTGACCCAGCCTGCATGATGGCGGTTGGGTTAACAGAGAGATTTTAATCCTCTTAGACTATGAAGGATATTTAAAACAGTAGTTATTATATTCAAAGCAGATACTGCTTCAAATTATTGTTTTGGGTTTTGTTTTTTTGTTTTTTTTTTTTTTTTTACATGAACTTTATTCCATCCTACAAGAGAAGATGGCTAAAATCAGGGATGACCACAATCTCACAGACACCAAAGTAATTTTATTTCCTTAAATATTACTCATAAACAGTTGTAAGAGCATGGAGCTCACCTCCCTATTTTGCCACTTTCTCAAGCTGATAGTTTTCAAGGCCACACTGTTTCTAAGGCTGGGTATGAAAGCAGCAACAATTCTGGTGGAGAAGATACCAAAACTTCCTGTCCTGGGTATCCCCCCTCCACAAACATCTCCAAATATCTCTCGGATAGAGCAAATAGCTTTCGAGAATATCAGCAGAAAGAAAATGGCTATTCTTATCCCAGCAATTAAACAGCACACGACTCTAAATCGCTGTAGTGAAATTGATGACAATATATTAATCTCATCTATTTGTGCAGGGAGATCAAAACGGAAGATAGGATAATATTGATTTAAACCACCGCTGAGAAGAAATTCTGGATATACTCTTTCAGTACCTGTGACATAAACCTAACTGTATTTAATTAACTTAAGAATGTTTAAGGCAAGCAAAAATTAGTTTTTTCAAGCTAAACTATGCATCTACACTTTATTCTTATTCTGCACTGATGTAACTGGCAGCCCATTTAACACAGGAATGCGATGTAGCACGTTAGCAGGTGCGGATGGTGCAGCCCAACCTCATGCAGAGTTCCTGGCTTGGATCTCAGATGCACTACAGACACATTAGCAGGGAACTGCATCTTTTATGAACTCTGCCACTCAGAGGCAGGTATCAATGTGTTCAGTTTCAGTATCACTTTGAGGCTGCTGTATTGCTTCCTGGTCAGAAGCTAGATCCCTTCCCTCCTCACAGCCTTCTACTGAAGAGCATAGGCACGTCACAAATTCATTTTAGAACCAATTTAAAATAAGCCAGCTCACCTTCTCTGATAATGTAAGGCCTTATGTATTTATCTGTGCACATTTTTATACCCTCCAAGTTTTACATTTTTGTCTCCCTTCTCCCTACAAAACAACTAATGCCACAGATCATAAGAGATGCAAAGAACAGTCACCTTCTCATTCAGAGCTATTTAAGAAAAGAAAAAAAAAAAAAAGAAAAAAAAAAATCAAGGCAGGGAAGGCACAGAAGGCAGACTGTTCTTTTAGTACCCCATCGGTGCCCTGATAGGCAGCTATCTGCTCCTTCTACATTTGATTCCTTTCATATTAGGCAGTCTCACTTTTTTTAAGTCTCTCTCTATACTTTGTGGAATCACAACTTTGCTCTTCCTTACCCTCTAAGGAGTACCTTAAAGAACACTCTAAAAAGATATGCTGTTTAAAAATGACACCAGGATTATTTCCACATTTCTCCATTGGCCTCAGGAACATTTCCATGACTATTATGTCTTCTTTAAAAATTACTATTTTTCTTCAGCTTATGCTTCACTTTAAGTCATAATCCTCTGTGATGACAATGGTATCATAGCAACTAGTCATGATGTAACAAAGACCATTTCTGGTGGAAAAAAAAAGCATCACAAACCTTGCAGGCAGTCTCTTAATAATCTCAATTAATTTCTCAATAAAATGCCTGTTCACATTTCAAATTGTAAAAGTCATCTCAAAAAACAACGCACTTCAAGAGAAGATAACATGTTGTTCTTCACTGATCACAAGGTTCTCAGGCCTTTCCAACTCCATTAAAACCATCAACTTCACTAAGAAAGGGTTTGAACTGCACCTTTTTGGCTGAAGAGAGTTTCAGGGAAATTAAGATTTACAGCACTTACTGGAGTAAATCTATAGCAAAACATTTCACAGTCCTGTAAAGAAAAAAAGAACAAAACTTCTATATAGTTGAACATACAAGCCTTCAAACCAAGTGCAAAAATATATGTAACTATATGTACGTGCATGTACACAACACACAGACAGATACAGGTGGCTACAAACACAATGAACATCATCACTGACGTCTGAAATGCCAATTTATGAAACACAAGCGTTTACTCCGCAGTGCCACTGATTACAGGCAGTTTTTAGTAAGTGTGATACATGTGAGGTGCAACCTTGCCTTCTACCAAAATGCTAAACACGCAAAGCATCTTTGCATCAATATTCAGGGCAACGGCATGCTGGGGTTTTGAAATATACTTAGCTGTATTCAGTTAACCTGTTTGATCTCTTCACTGGCCTGGCAACTACATTTAAATGATGAATTTTTTCTTATTATTATCATTTTTTTTTTTTTTTGGTCACGATGCAGGTAAATGAAGTTAAACCAGATAAATCAGGTTTTACACCAAAAGGCCTTTCGGCTTCGGCGGCGGCTGTCCCCGTCTCACAGACGGGCCAAACCCGATTACAGGCTCGCTCGGCAGCAGAGCAAAACCCACGCTCCGGCGGCCACGGGCGACGGCAGCTCCCGCGCAGCCACCGCGCCGGGGACACGGACAATGCCGAGAGCCTCCCCGCGGGCTCCCCGCCCGGCGCTGCTCCCCAGCCACGCGTGGGCGGCAGCCCCGCCGCCTCGCCACCGCCCGCCGGCCCCTTCTCCCCAGCGCCGGGATCGCCCCCAACGGCACCTGCCGGCCGTTCAACGGCCGACGGTCCAACCCCCGCTGCCGCCTCAAGAACGGGGCCCCCAACCGCCCAGCGGCCGCGGCTCCGGGGGGAAAGGAAGGAGCGGAGGTGGGAGCGGGGAAGGAGGCGGGGGGGCGCCCCCCCCCAAAAAAAAAAAAGAGGGAGCCCGGGAAGCGGAGGGGCGAACGGCCGCTGGGGTATCTTCCAAGGGCCGCGCCCGGCGGGCACGGCCGCAGGCAGGCACCTGAGCAGCTCCTTTGTTCCTCCCCGCTCCCGCCGCCTCACCCCTTCCCGCACTCACCCACGGTGGCCAGGGTCTCCAGGTCCTCCAGCTTGTAGGCGGCGGGCTCGGGCGCGGCGGGCGAGCCGGGACCGGCGGGACTGGGAGCCGGCGCGGCGGGCTGAGGCGCGGTCAGCCCCGCCACCGCCGCCGCCTCGCCGCCGCTCTTCGCCCCCATTTTGGCCTTGGCGGCGCTGAAGGCGTCCATGGGGCCGAGCGGGCGCCCCGCGGCCGCTCAGCGCATGGAGAAGGGCGAGCCGGGAAGGCGGAGGGGGGGGGGGGGGGGGGGGGGGAAGGAGAGGGAGCGGCGGCGGAACGCAAAGTTTCAGTCTTCAGCAGGCGGGGTGGCTGCTCCCCGGGGCCGGAGCCCGTTCCCGCTGCCGCCTCTGAGGGGGCGCGGAGCCTCCCAGCATCGCGGCCAGCCGCCGCGCCTCCCGCCACCCGCAGCAGGGACCGCCGCGCAGACAGACAATGGCGAGGGTGAGCCCGGCCGAGCCGCGCCGTGCCGAGCCGCGCCACACGCGGGGCGGGGTTTGCCTTCCTGCCGCTGCGGCACGGTCCCGCAGAGGGCTGGCGGGGCGGGGAGGGGGCGGGCGGGAGAAGCGCGGAGCTCGCCGCGGGCGCAGCTCGGGGGTGCCTGGTCACGCCGCTGCCCTTTGCTCGTCCTTCCCCCCCCCCGCCCTCCGCGTCCCGCCTGAGGGGCGGCGCGGCTGCCGGGGCGGGGGGGGTGGGATGGCGGGGGGGGGGGGGGGGTGCCGGTGGCTGCCGCGCCTGCCCCCGCGCTGCTGCCTCAGGGCTCCGGGGGGCCGGGGGAAGGTCCCGTCGGCTCCCCGCGAAAAGTTAGAGGTGACTGAGGGGGCCCTTGCGAAGCCCGGCCCACCCGGTTCCACACGGGGAGATGCGGGAAGAGTCAGTCAGTTGGAGGAGCTCGGCTGGTGCGGGGTTAGCGAGTGCCCCTCACCCGCGCTTTTCAAAGGGTTTCTCCCGCGTTATTCCGCTCCCTCAGCTCTCAGGGCGGTGTGGGTACGGCCGCGGCCCCTCCGCGCTCCCTGCCCCAGCCTGCGGAGTGGCCGGGGCCGGCGGGTGGGCGCGCGGAGCTGCGCGGAGGAGGCGCCTGAGGTGGCAGGAGCGGGGCACCGAGCACGGCTCCTTCCCCGGCGGCCGAGAAACTGCTGACAGTTATGCTGAAAGACTGGGAATAGCGGTGTGTGAGCCAAGTCACTGAGAAGCGCTCGTGTCAGAATTGGGAAGGAAATCCTAATTTTTTTTTTTTCCTGGGCCTTGTTCTGGCCCAGTTTTACGCTGTTCACAGCTCCTACCCTGTGCTCCAATAAGCGGGGTATCTGCAAAGCCGATGTGTAAGTCAAAGCACACAGGTGGCATTTTATCTCTTCTTTTTATTAAATGTGAAAACGGGGGAATACAAGGCCCTATTAGTTTCTGTGTGGAGTAGGTTCAGTGATAATGAGAAATAATTAGGTGTGTGTACACAGAAAATGAGAATAAATATATAAATTATGTATATAAGAATCACATATTTATGTATCTCTTTCCTGAATTTTAAGAGATCCTTACAGTCTCATTTATAGTCATGATACTCAGAGGACATAACACGTATTTTTATCTTTTAGCTTGTTGACATTCGAAGGGTTGTGACTAATTCGGAAAAATGCTAGGTCATCTCTGCTTCCTGTCAGCCTGTGAAAAGAATCACCAGTCAAGGAGGATGACGTCACTTCTGCTACAAAATTCAAATTTCATTTGTATACTCTTCAGAGTGCAAGTTTTGAGCTTCTATTTTGCTTTACTACTTAATTTCCTTTCGTATTGTTTTGTACATTGTATACAAAAAGTATCATGATTCATACCTTGAATATTTTAGAGATTCTGTAAATTGCAAATTGTAAATGTTCTGGCAGGCTGTAAATTTAGTTCCTGTTTGCTCAAAAGATGAGCAAGCCAACAAACCTCTCTTAACAATAACAGAAAATTTTGTTTAAGATAACAGTTTGAAAAATAAACATTCATACATTGAGGAAATCTCCATGTATATAAAACTGTAACTTTTGAGTTTTAGCCAAATAGTTTCAAATTGAGATGATTTGGGGGAAAATGTACAAGATAATTGTGATCATTGTTTTCTAGAGACAATACCTTAGCTTCAGTCTATCCAAGAAGATCAGTATGTGATCCTCCTGAACCTTTTTTTTTTTTTTTTTCATAAAAACTAAGAAATCTTTCACTGCTCAGATGTTACAAAGGACATAAAATACAGAAGATATTGATTACTTTCAACTGATATTTCAATTTATGAACTTAATGATTAAATTATATGCATTCACAAACTTAAAACTTCTTTAAACAGCTTTCTGCTGCCATGCTTCGGCAATTGGTGGCCTGTATGTCAGCACACATTCAAAAAGGCTGTGATTCAGCAAGGTTCGTAAGCACAGGATTAGCTCCTTTCAATGCAGTGTCTCTTTTCTTACGAATAAAGTTAGCTTCCTACCTTGCTAGACTGGCATCCGAAGCATTCACTAGTCGTAGTTGTAGCAATATAATTGCAATGTTTATATTTAGAATGTCAACATGTTATTAGTGTGCTTTACCACCTCTCTATAACCTACTTAGAATTTACCTTCCAGATACTGGTTATTACTCACAATATTTCAGGGAAAGAATATGCCATTATTTCTAAATACGACGAGACTGAGAATCAAAACTCGTAACTTCATAAATTGCATGTGAAAGTAGAGCTGGCCACTGGGTTGCAATAGTGGATATGAAACTTAGTTTCTTGCCCAAATTAGACACATTTCATAGGAAAGTCTGTAGCCCTATTCTCCCTTTTTTATTTTGGTTTTTTTTTTGCCACTAGTTTAACTTAATATGTGAACATTTGGTCACAGGTACTTTCTGAGTAATCTTGGCCTTTCTCTTGCCCTTGATAATTCATTGTTCTCACCTTTTTCACTGTCCCCACGCATGCAATAGGTTCCTACAGCCAGGTTCCTTTAGCTTAAAGCAGAGTTTAATGCCTTACGTTTCCATTCCTTTATCTTGCAAGTGCTTACATCAAGGGTTGACTCTATTTTAATTTTTCCTTGAAAGTACCAGATGTTGTAGGTGATTCTTTCAAAACGCAGTGATTGCCTTACTGAAAGACATTTTTCTTTTCTTTTTAATATAGAGAACAATAGTTAAATAGTTTTCTCCATACTTACGATTTTAGGTGATGGTTTTTTTCTTCCATTTCAGCTGCAAGAAGCGTTCAGTGCACTTATGTTCCTTTACAAGCTCAGAATTTTGAGGGACGTAAGGGGTCCCGGGTGTCAATTTGGTTACTCCATGCTGCCTTTCATTTATGCACATGTGCCAAACTTCAGTTTGCTGCACACACAGCCACACCGGTAGTTAGTGATTCTTTGGGTGCTAAATTACTAACTTACTTCCCATTCCTTCCTTTTTGTTTGTTTATAGATTTTTTTATTTTCCCCAAGGAAAACTTTGGTTAACAATTTTAAACTAATGTGGCGGATTGCAAACTTTCTACCTGACTATCTATTAATAGATATAAGATATCATTTCTCTGACATTTTGAGGAGATGTTGTGATACGCATATGCAAATGGAATATGATTTAAGCACCTAACTCTTGGTCTTCTGGTTCTCTGAGAAAGGAATCAGCCATTTAAATGTCTCCATGACTGCCGACAGAAGAGTCTCTCCTGTGGTCTGAATGGGTTTGCGTTTGTCTACCTGAAAGCATGCTTTTTTATTCCCTGCAAATATATAATTTTCCTTACAAATCTTGTTAAAGCCTATCTTTACCATCACCATCACAGTAAAACCACTACAACAAGTTTGCTAGAGGACCTGTTCAAACCTGTAGGGAGGAAATGGAAAAGTCTTTCAGTGGTGGTTATTACTAATAAATAGCTCTGTATCTTCTCCTTTTGTCACATTATGCACAGTGCCTAAAAATGTGAGACTGCTCTGAGGAGGAAGAATAACTAATCAAGATAATTAGTACTGGTATGTGTTTTTCATTTGTTTTGTTTTGCTAAAGAAGCTCATGATCGGGCAAGTTCTGTGAAGTAAACAAGCACCCTTTCGTGCAAGAAATCCCTGCCTCTGACAAAGGAAGGGGGAAATTGTTCCACCTGTCTGAAGTAGTTCCTTCACAGTATGGAAATGAGACAGTTTGGATAATGAACAACACACATCATGCGAATGTATCTACACATTCATAAAGCAACTATCACACTTGTATTTTAATACGATTATGCTTAATGTTTTTTTAAAAGCATTTAAATGATTATGAGGAGCTGAATCCAAATGAGAATTTAAGCACCAAGAATATAATGTATATGCCTACATCCAAAACCGTGATTCTGTCGAGTCTTGCCGAGTTGATGCCTCGCTTCGGAAGTGCAGCGGCTGAGCCAGTTCAGACAGGGAAATGCTGTTACTAGGGTGTCTAGACTTCTGCCCAGCCTGAGCAAGTTTGTGCCTACCTTCTGCCAAAACTCGATTGAGATCTGGAAACAAGATGTTGCTTTGCCTACGTTTGCTGAGGAACTTGTTCTGTTAAGCATTCTGCAAGCATATCTCACCTACATGCAAAACTGCTCCCCTCACAGAATTAAGTCGTGGCCAACTTTTTAGAAAAAGTTGCTGGAGGAAAACTGTTACCTGATAGGAGACACCGAAACACCAGTGTGCTGGACAAGCTCTTCAAAGAGAGATGGGAATGTTTTCTTCGGGTGGAAGACAGAATAGATGCACTAGGATGTCTTTTTGTTCATTCTTTTCCCAAAAAAAAGTAGTTATGTGTGTTCATACTAACAGATCTCATTTTGAATACTCAGGGATAGCACGCTGGTTATAGCAGTCGCTCGGCAAATGGAATATCCAGCATTTTTGATCTTAATTGTGTGAACAGAGTTCTCATTCCACCCTCCTTCCTTTAAATTACTGAAGGCAACTGCAGGACATATTCCACCATATTGTGCATTCCTGCTTCACAAACACTCCTTTTTTACTGTGCCCATGAGATGAGGTGTTTGGTTCACTGCTCTGTGGAATGCTGCAAGTGGTAAAACTTAAATATAGTACAAGTCAAATTTATTTATACAATTTATGGTATGTAACTGTGGTGTGTTTTTATGAATTTTATCAAGGTTCTGTAAAGATTACTGTAAAATAATAAATTCCATAAATTATTAAATTGGTATGAGCTTTACCAGGTGTTTTTTTTTTTTTTGTAGCAAGACGTGTGTTACCTGAACTTCATAACACTTGGGGTAGTCAAGCAGAATAATAAAACCTGTCTGTTGCTACCAATCTCGGGGAACCAAGTTATCTCTTCAAGGAGTCCTCAGCTAGATAAACGTAAAATTTCTGTGCCAAATCTTTTTTTCCGCTATATTTAGAATAGTTAAAGGACTTTTAAAGCGAAATTGCATATAATGTCTTTTCTAAAATAGACACATCTAATGCATGAACAGAATAAATCTTTTAATTCAAAACTTTTTTGAAATTCTATTTGGTTTCATGTTGGTATCTTCTTATCCAAGACTAAGGACTCGCACGAGGAAAAAGAAACAGCTAAAATATTCCTTTA